GATCACCGCAAAGCACCGCCTCCTCCTGACGGGCACCCCCGTGCAGAACAACCTGCGGGAAATGTGGTCCTTGTTCGACTTTGCGTGCCAAGGCTCCCTCTTGGGAACAGCCAAAACATTTAAAATGGAGTACGAGAACCCGATTACGAGGGCAAGGGAGAAGGACGCGACCCTAGGTGAGAAAGCGCTGGGACTAAAGATATCTGAGAATCTAATGACAATCATAAAGCCGTATTTCCTCAGAAGAACCAAAGAGGATATCAAAAACACTTGTGCAGACAAACCAGACGCTCCTGCTCCCGAGGACCCAAGTGAGAACAATGCTCCTGTGATGCCATCCCTCACCAGGAAAAATGACTTTGTTGTGTGGGTGTACTTGGCCCCAGTGCAGGAGGAAATCTACAGGAACTTCCTCTCTCTGGACCACGTGAAGCAAGTGCTGACGACAACCCGATCGCCTTTGGCCGAGCTGACTGTCTTGAAGAAGCTTTGTGACCACCCCAGGCTTCTGTCCGCGAGAGCGTGTGTCCAGCTGGGGCTGGAGGAACAGGAATCCTCGGAGCAGGACGACGGGAGCGAAGCAGGTATGCTTCCAGGCGCTAATAAAATCCATCAGCTCCCTGAGGAGACTGTGATTCAGGAGTCTGGGAAAATGCTGTTCCTTGTGGGGCTTCTAGAAAGGCTGCGAGAAGAGGGACACCGAACCTTGGTGTTCTCGCAGTCGAGGAAGATGCTGGACATCATAGAGCACGTCTTGGCTGGCAGGCGGTTCAAGATCATGCGCATCGACGGCACGGTGACGCACTTGACCGAGCGGGAGAAGCGCATTAACGCCTTCCAGAGCGACAAGGACGACTCCGTCTTCCTGCGGACCACGCAGGTCGGCGGCGTTGGCATAACCTTGACGGCAGCCAGCCGGGTGGTGATCTTTGATCCCAGCTGGAACCCAGCCACAGACGCCCAGGCCGTAGACAGAGCCTACAGGATCGGGCAGAAAGAGAACGTGGTCATTTACAGACTGATTACCTGCGGCACAGTGGAGGAGAAGATCTACAGGAGGCAAGTGTTCAAGGACTCGCTGATAAGGCAGACCACCGGTGACAAAAAGAACCCGTTCAGGTATTTCTCCAAGCAGGAACTAAGGGAGCTTTTCACACTGGAAGATACTCGAACCTCTGCAACTCAGATCCAGCTGCAGTCTCTGCACGCCACCCAGAGGAAGACGGACGTGCAGCTGGACGAGCACATCGCCTACCTGCACTCTCTGGACATGTTTGGCATTTCTGACCACGACCTGATCTACACGAGGGAAATAGCCCACGAGGAGCAGGTGGAGAGCGAGGAAGCCCATCAGTACATCCAGCGGCGGGTGCAGAAGGCCCACGAGCTCGTCCAGCTGGAGTCGCAGCTTAGGGACCAGCGGACGGAGGGGGCCAGAAGCTCTTACGAGGAGACGCGGCAAAGACCACCAGGATTTGTGTCCAAGCCGAAGAAGCCGTCTCCAGGGTTGAACAACATAAAACATGTTGTTTCCCCACCAGTAGCTGACAAACACGACGATGACCAAGTTATTGATCTTACAGAGGACAGGGAGGCCCAGGTTCTTAATGTCAGCTCCAAAATGATGAATCTGACCATTGATGACTCGGAGGAAAAGCAACTTGCACAAGACGTGTCCAGCATGGATACAGAGCTGCTTAATGCCAGGGAGACAGAGGAACAATCCAATAAACCAGAACCTGAGCAAAAGCTTGAATCAAGCATTGCATCATCATCACCTGAACCTCATCTGCTTCACACAGAGAGGCAGAGCCCCCACCAGAAGCAGCATTTCCATGCAGATTCAGATAGCTTGACTGGGGCAGGGAATGGCCTGTCTGGACATCATCAGTGCTCCTCTAACGAGGCTGGCATGGCTGATGATCCCAAAAGACTGAAAGATGCAGAGTTGTCAGATCAGGTACTTGACCTGCATGCTGCCATGGAGACAGACCAGAACGAAGCTCCTGAGCCCGCTGTGGCTGCTGCAGCGTTGAGTTTATCAAACGTCACGCCAGAACCCCACGCTGGGCTGCAGAATTCCTGTGTGCTGGAAACCAGCGTGGAGGAAATGTCTGCGCCTTCTCTCCAGGACCACGTTGACTTCAACCTGGTGTTGGAGGAGTCTGAAGATGGATCGCAGGATGCCTCAAACAGGGGACGAGCACAGGAGCAGCCGGAGGAGGAGGGCTCCTGGCTCAAAGCAGAAAGCTTTTGTAAATCCCCGACCAAAACATCTCTAACAAAAGCCTGGCGAAGTGGGGACAGTAACGGTGGGGAGCTCCGCCACAGCACTGAGGAGCCAGATGACTCCCTGCACGGGAGCGCAGCGTCGGAGGAAAGCAGCGATATTGCTGCTTCTGCTAGAAAGAAACACTTAAAAAGGATTGTTTCGGACAGCGAGGACGAAGACCAATCCCTTATGATCTTGGAGGAGAATCCGTCTGGAAAAAAGCCCTCTCCCTTGAGCAGCCCTCTGCATCAATTTACGGAGGTAATTAGTGCATCCACTCCTAAATGTGACGGAAATGCACCAAAAGCCGTCTTTTCTCCCCTGCTAACCAGCACCACTAACAGGTCCACTGCTTCCAGGCGCTCCCTCATCCACAAGGTGGTAGACGAGGTGGGATATATGATGGGAACCACTGATGAAGATGATGAGGAGGAGGAGGAGGAGGAGCAAGATGACCTTGTGGTGGAAGAGGCTGAGGAGTGCACCGGGGAATCTGCCGAGGCCGAAGAGGAGCCTGCGGGAGAAACGCTCGATACGACTGAGGAGTCCCTCCATGTGGACAGCACGGGCTCGGAGCAGTCGGGGTCAGACGAGACCGAGTCGTCGCAGGAGGAATCCACGGGCGATGTCGAGCTGCAGTCGGGCGAGCAGGTCGAGTACTTCACCCAGGAGACCGCCTCCGAAAAAGAGGTTGGTCAGAGCCCCTCTGCCGCCACAGGAGACTACAACACCTTGGTGGACAGCGGGAAGAAGCTTCAGGGTGCTGGAAAGCTGCAGGAGGCACTGGACTGCTTCCTGCAAGCTCTGGACATCAAAGGGGGAGATCCCGAAGTGATGCTCATGACTCTAAACCTGTACAGACAGCTGGCCCAGAAATGAGACTCGTGTGCCTTTACTGATACAGCCTCACTTTGTGCTCACTGAATTTTGTCTGATCCACAGCACTGATGTTTTGAAGTGGCCTAAGACCCCGTGGCTGCAGCGTGCACCTCTTTGGTGGTGACAGAGCAAAGGCTCCTGCGTGAGGAAACGGCCGAAGGAGCTGGGTGTTGGGTGCTGGGGAAGGGACCTCACTGTGGACTCGGTTCACAAAGGTGAAAACAGCTCATGTTCCTGTCTGATTATTTAATAAAAAGTCTTGTTTATGTCTAAGCTTGCGGCCCTGGCTTCATCTTTCTGCCCTTAGGTTGGTCTGAGACCATATCTGCTGTGGAGAAGAGCAAAAGCAGAACTGCTTGCTGCTGTAACTCCTCCAAGCAGCACAGACCTTGCTCCTGTGCCCCCAGGCTGCGGTTGCTGTTGGAGGGGGTGTCCCTGTCAGGGGAAGTGCCCCCTTCCCCTCTTTATTTCTGAGTAGCACAGTCAAAGCCTGTTCCTGCACAGAGGCAGCAGGAGCAGGAAGCACTGGTTTAAGTTTTGAGCTCTTTTCCCTCTAACCCACCTCCCACACATGGTTTAGCTGTGGTAATTAAATTCTTCTCTCAGGTGCTGCAGGCACAACTGAGCTATGAACTGGGTTCACAGTTCAGACCGTGCAAGCTTTAAATCAGAATGACCTTGTTCTGGGGTTTAGCCACGCTCTGTGTACGTGTACCTGCCCTTCTGCCACCCCAGAGAGCCGAATGTGGCCTGGGTGCACCCATCACTATGGCCATCCCCTGCATGGGCCGTCCTTGTGACAATGCAGCAGCAAATCTGGATGCTTGCTCACGCCCCGCGCACATTTAGCACCCAGCACGCCTGGCTGCTGCGTTACAGCACAGGATGCTCTCATACCTTGTGTAGTTTTGCAGTGTCTGGAGAGGACACCGCTCTGCTGCTTTTGAATCCTTTGCACCAGGGGACGTGACAAACACAAACAGCGCTGGTGCAGGAGACGTGCCAATGGGCTCTTGCTAATGGGTAGAACAAAGCTCTGGTAGCCTGGAAACAAGCGGTTTATTAATAGAGCATCCCTTAAATGAGGCCACATCTGCTCTGATGCTGTAGGAAGGCCTGTCTGCCTCATAACAAAATATTAATGAACTACAGCGTTGCAATCCTTTGTTGGCCCCTCTGAGCTTTCCATTCACTAACAAACACCCCAAAAAGGGAGGAGAAAGGCCTGCCCTGGTTTTGGGCTCACCTCTTCCTTGTGTGTGATCTTAGGAAAGGCCCTTTGCTCTCTTTGATGTCCTCTGAGTCCTGACACCACACGATGCATGGAGCCTGCAGGCAGAGCTGTG